CGAGAAAAAATCACCTTTTGTTCTTATTCCAATAAGATAACTGGATCAAAAGGTATGTTATGGCAAATTTTGGTTGAAAAATGAAAAAAAAGAGAAAAATGGGGACTGCTGAAAAATTGAAAAATGTTTTTAAAAAAATTTCCTCTCCTGAAGACATTCTGTGAAGAATTATTTGCATTTTGCAACTAAAATGGACTTTGGCGGCGAATCAGCTTTTTCGTAGTTCAACTTTGAGCGCGCTTGGTGACTTAACGGTTTAAATTGCGAAAATGCCGCCCTTGACGTTTTTGTAGGAAATTTTATGCTCTACAAATTAAGCCTTATGCATTTTTATCCTATCACGGTTTTGTCGGCGTAAAGCAAAAAAGGTCGCGTGGACGCTTAATTTTGCAGTTTTGAATTTAGAATCACGGTTTTCCGTCCCTAGAGGCATAAAATAGAATGTGTACCTCGGGCGGGAAAACATGATTTTCCGCCCTTGATGCACAACACTATAATCATGGAAAGGATCCATATGACATATGGATGCCGGCCGATAGGACAAGCTGTCGGGTTGGTGCCTCTCTCTCTCTCTCTCTCTTTCGGAGTTGAGGATATAACCATAACGAACAGAAGGTCTCGGGTCCATATGGGACATTCCATGTCAACTCAGCCACCCCGGATTTTTTTTTGTCTAGAAAAAATGATTTGATTGCCGCATTTCAAACTACTATATATAGACAGTATTCCTGCCAAATTTCATTGTCTCATGATTTTTTGTTTCTGAGATAATGACTACCAAACTTTAAATTTTCAAAAATTCAAAACTTTCGAATGGCGCATCCGATTCGAACAAATAAAAAAAGAAAATTTTTTTTTTCGTTCATACTTTTAGGGAAAAAATACTCCATAGGCGTGAAGAAGCTTCTACACCTATTTTTCGATCAATTTTTACGTTTTTATTTTTTTTCGGCTCCAGGGCCGTCCGGTATTCGACTGGAATTTTTTTTTTCAGATAGAGGACGTCCATATATGATGTAAAAAAATACGCCAACATGGGAGAGACAACCAGTGCACCGGAGAAAATTTTTGTTTCCTAAATTTTCGTGTTTTTCCGCTTTCTAGGGGAGCTGCCTCGTCTTTATTAAGAAATTGATTCAATCCATACCTTTGATGAATATGAGTTAGGAAAGAGATTCATCGCGATAGAAAAGAGAAACAATGCGTCGGGAAAAAAATTTTCTCTGAAATTTTTTAGTTTTATCGCTATCTATGAGAGCTACCCAAAGAAACAAACGTGTCAATCAATATTTTTTGCTCATAACGATGAAAAGGAAAGCCATCATGGAAGAGACAAGCAGTACATCAGCAAAATGTGATTTCTTCGCAATTTTATTTTTTCTTNAGAGAAACAATGCGTCGGGAAAAAAATTTTCTCTGAAATTTTTTAGTTTTATCGCTATCTATGAGAGCTACCCAAAGAAACAAACGTGTCAATCAATATTTTTTGCTCATAACGATGAAAAGGAAAGCCATCATGGAAGAGACAAGCAGTACATCAGCAAAATGTGATTTCTTCGCAATTTTATTTTTTCTTCTTTTCTCTTTTTCTTCTTCTTTTCAATCTTTTTTTTGCTTCTTTCACCTTTCAATCGACAGTTTTCCCTTCTGCTAGATGGAAGGGACTATCAACAACATTATAAACCTCTTTCGAAAGACAAAGTACCCAAAGAAGTGCGAAACATGGAAAAACAAGTTTTATTTTACTGTAACGACCTTTTTACATTTTTACAATAAGAGGCTATTATTTACCGTCTCCAACTACCACTTGCCCAATTGCACTGATTTACTATACATACATCTATTCGTCACGATTACTGCTTTCTAAGTGCTTTCCGTTTTGTTGTTTGTTTTCGTTTCGGAAAAACTTCTTGGTTTTCCGCAGCCGAATATCGTTTCATTAACAATTGTTCTCCCGGTTTTGGAATGAAACAATGGTGTTTTTGAATGGCTGGAATAGCTTTGGCACTATCAAATCTTTCCCTCAATTCAGTTTTTATATTCTCATGTTCGTCCTTGGTGAAAAAAAACACATCAATTCCTTTGAAATTCTCTTTTGACCATCGAAACAAAGCACCTGGCGTCAGGATGGGTTCACCATGGACGATTTGCAAGCTTCTACGTTTCGCTTCTCTTTTGAAAACAGCACCCACACCGTTACAAACACCTTTACCGTGTGCGGTTGCATGAAAATGGGCCTCTACATCTATTCCAAAATCAGTCTTGTGATGCAGAAGATTAGCCATTTGGTAACGATTCTTGTAATGCTGTGCAGCTCCATCGGTGACATAGATGATTCTCTCGACATCTTTGCAGTTATTCTTCACATGTTGTTCTAGAATTTTCTGTACCAAGTAAACAGCTGTGGTATCGTGAGCAGTACTATCTGAAAAAACAACTAAACTCCGATGCTGGATCTCGTTTCCTTCACGATAGTAGTAAACAACGGGATGGACTGTACATTGGTCATTGTTGCAGTGGAAGGATTGAGTAGCATCTTGAGCCACAAAGGCATAATTTTCTGAGAAATCACAGTGCACTAGTACTTCGCTGTTATTCAAATTCTCTTTTCGATCTTTAACAAAAGCTGATTGTTCTTTAGCGATGAAGTGATGGGGTTTTAATACTTTTAATCGTTCGACAAGAAGATCGACGAAGTCATCCATCGCAAGCGTTTGTGTCTGCAAGGTACACCTGTCAGTAGTTTGCCACACGCGAAATTGGACAGTTTCGATAACAGAATCAGAAAGGAGCTTCTTCAATTCACATGAGAAGGGTTTCACCCCAGGGCAGTCGTTACATTCATCTAGATAACGGGCCGGGGTTGGATTTGTACACATCAGTTGTGCTAGACAATCTTTGTAATCCTTGAGTGGGCAGGGGGAATCTTTAGTTAGAGTGGCAATGTTGATAGCTTCGAGCATCAATTTGCAATTTTGATGATACGTGCAAACACATACGACGTAAGTGCCATTTGCTCCCGCCAGTACACATTGTTTTGGTCTCAGCTCAGCGAACTTACTGAAACCAACCAAAGCCTCTGGATGAGTATTTTTGTACTTCCTATGAAGGTGTTTCAGATTTTCGAGTATCATTTGCTTTTGCTCTACTTTCTTCTCTCCATTGATTTTGACGGATACTGTATCTTTCAACCCTGGCATGACACGACTATTCTCTAGATAAAATTTGTGTACTTTCTCGACCGTTTGTTTTGGAAGTGAATGGCCTGCTTTCGCAATTGGTGAGGCAAATACTCCTTTGATTTCTCTCAATTTTTTCGCTCTTGACGCCATGTATCTCGTAATGCCAAATTCAGAAGCGATTTTCCGCTCGCTCCACGACTGTGGAAGAACCGTCAAGATTTGCAAGCGCTCACCGTACTTTTCCAGATCATTGAATTTTTTCTTCAAACCATCCAGCATTTCTTCTAATTCTATTTCTCTCGAAGATCGATAGCGCTTTGATAAAGAAGGATCAGCGTCACTTTGGTCATCTTCCGCATCAGAATGCATGGGGGAACTGGAGAATTCAGATACATTGTCCGCTTCTTCATCGATTGAACTGCCGGAATCGTCGAGATGGAAAGACCGACCTGATCTCAGAGAACTGTTCATCACATCTGGGCTTGGTTCGGGTGTTTCGGTTTGGGGCTTTGATATCTCGGGTGGGGTGTCCGAACATCGAAGATGTGTATCATGAAGATTCACCATTGAGACGGGTGGAATCACATAATTCAGGGCCATCTTCCGGCACTGGCCACAGATTTTCGCAGACTTTGGTAGAAAGGGAAACTTCTTGTGTATTGCCGAGGAAATGGGCCGCAAATCCAAACCATTGTGTCCCTTCTGACCAGGAATCCGCATCGGATTCGCACACCTATTACTTCGCGGCATTCTATGAAATGCAAAATTATCAAATCCAATCCAAAATTATCCGGAAAATGAGGATTATTCCAATAAGTAACGTGAAACCTGCTTACCTCGATACAACAGACAGGAAAATGCGAATCGATTCGCAAGGAATTGTACAACGATGAAAACTCAATGAGGAAGTTGAAGTTTTCACTAAAACTAGAGCCTCAGGAAAAACTGATGATATTAAATCAATGAATTGATTCTTTTTGTTTTCTTTTCTCATTTGTTTGGTCATGATTAGGCGAACTTCCGATGATGATGACACAGTATAGCTCTCATAGAAAGCGAAAAGGCGCAAAAATTTTGAAAAAAAAATTTTTCCCGACGCATTGTTTCTCTTTTCCATCGTGACGCATCTCTTTTCTAACTCATATTCATCAAAGGTAAGGATTGAAATATCAATTTCTCAATAAAAACAAGGCAGCTCTCCTAGAAGGCGTAAAAACACGAAAATTTAGGAAACAAAAATTTTCTCTGGTACACTGGTTCTCTCCCACGATGCCGTATTTTTTTTTACATCATATATGCACGTTCTCTATGAGAAAAAAAATATTACAGTCGAATACCAGACGGCCCTAGAGCCGAAAACAAATAAAAATGTAAAAATTCATCGAAATTTAGGTGTAGAAGTTTCTTCACGCCTATGAAATATTTTTTTCCGGAAAGTATGAACGAAAACAAAAATTTTCTTTTTTTATTTGTTCGAATCGGATGCGCCGTTCAAAAGTTATCAATTTTTGAAAATTTCAAGTTTGGTAGTCATTATCTCAGAAACAAAAAATCATGAGGCAATGAAATTTGGCAGGAATAATGTCTATATATAGTAGTTCGAAATGCGGCAATCAAATCATTTTTTCTAGACAAAAAAAAATCCGGGGTGGCTGAGTTGACATGGAATGTTCCATATATAGCATGGACGCCGTACTTGAGGGGTTAAAATCCCTGCATATATACGTAATTTTATTAAATGCAGTGAACAAATTTTTTCGATATTGTTCACTCGTTTAATGACATTCAAAAAGTTGAATTTTCAATTTATTTGTATAGGTGGAATGTCTGGACTTCAAAACATGATGAAACAGCTTCAACAAGGCGCTGGTGGGCTTAGCAACTTGATGGGTGGCTTCGGTGGAAAATCCTGAGAACTTTGATGCCAACAGTCCGTGAAAACTGTCATTTGATAATTCTACCATCCTAAAAAAATGTGTTTGAATGAATTCAAAACACGTTAAATACAACTCCGGTTTTGTTCTCTGTATAATTTATTTCGTGATCGATGATAAAAAATTCCAGATCACTTCTCTTTCCATATTACAACCATGAAACGTAATTGAGATTCAGACGAAATTTTGGGATCTCAAAATCACCGGACGAACAGTATATTTACGAAATCTCGATCATGGAACTTCTATAGAGTAAATAGAGTATAGAGTAAATTTAATGTAAAAGTTAATCTTTTGTAAATATAAAATGCGATTAAGGAATATTCTTCTTTTGGTTAATTTCCATTTTCTCAATAGAGAAAATGATAAAGATGAGTGGATGTCCTCGCGTTCATTTTCTTATTGACCTACATTTTTTCCTCATATGAAGATTTTTTCACACATTATTGAATCCATGTAGACAACGTTTGCAAAATTTGAAAAAGTCCAGAAGCAGGGCAACAACAAAAATGATTTTTCAAGTTGCTGCTTATATTATTATTTATTATTACTACATTTGCCTGTCTTGCAGGGGAGGACTCCCTATAATAGGATAGGTTCCAATACTTACCAAAAATTCAACTTATCTTAAAAAAACATGAAAAAGGATGAGTTAGAAAGTTACTCTAACAGGAGCTGAGGGTTGCATTAAAATAAATAACCAAATAATTAGGTAATTACACATGATTATACAGGGTAACAACTAAAACTAAAATAAGAAACGCTGAGGTAAAACGGCTTAATGACAGTCAGGATAACTATATAACTATATCCGTAGCAATAGTGAGATCATAATTCATAACATTTGAATCTGTATCGTGTGTAGTCAAAAATTTCGTGAGTAATTGGTCTGGCCTAAAATACATGGTGGTTTGACTCTTGATAAAAGATTCTCTCATGCTAAAAACACTGGACAAGAAATAAAAGAGAGCTCTGGTGGAAGACTTGTCGTTCGCGAAGCGCAGCGTGCGATAAACTCGACTTATTGCACGGCGTGCCATAAAGTCAGTTTTTTTAAATGACAACAATATTTTTCACCCCTACAAAAATTGTTCGTCTCGCCGAGAAAAGTTCAACCATACCATATTTTTCGATGACGTCATCGTTTTCATGTGAATAATCGTACGAAAATCAAACGAACGGGAAATATCGTTATTCAGACTATCTTGCGCATAGAAACGCTGGAATGTTATTTATTAACTATCTCGTCAATGTACCATGTAAACAAAAGATGACTGAGGTAGGAGAGGGACGTTGTAAGAGCTAGGTGTTATTCTTCATTTTCCGTCAGTGACAAAATATCCATCATTTATTATGATAGTGAATGTGTGGATATTTTACTCATATTAGGTGAGTGGCGACAAGGGTATCGAAGGGCCACATGATTATGTACAGGTACACGTATGTACAGCGCTTTCCAAATCAACGACGACATCCTTCTGCTGCAGTCATTCGCCAAATCGAACGAAATTGTCGGCAGGGAAGAATTGGGCAACGACAACGCCAGCAACTTTTCAATGTTGACGATCCACGCAGTATTGCTGTTTTAGCAATGATACACATGATTCCTCACATTAGTTTACGGGACATTGAACGTGATTTGGGAGTACCACGGAACACGGCCCACAGAATCTTGAGATCTGGTCGGTACCATCCTTACTATGTCACGTTGACAATAGCATTATCTCCCCAAGATATGGAGAACCACATCAATTTCTGTCGTTGGGCTCTAGGAAGATAGAACGACAATTCAGATTTTTTTCTGTGATGTCCAAAGCCTAAGAAAAATTCAAGAACAAAACGATAATCCAATTAAATGAAATTAGAATACAGAGACAAAAAATTTTATCCAAGGTAAAATTCTTGAGCAAAAATTGAAGCAGTCAGCAGAGGAATTCAGCACACCAGTGACGAAATTCCATAGTCAGCATGCTCTAATTTCCCAATATACTACCGATTTTCGCGATCATAACCGAACTTGTAAAATGACTGATCGATCCTACCAGGCCAAATGTGCCAGTTTTCCAGCAATAAAATTCCTAAACGTGGAACCACCATGAACCGCAAGACCCTAAAATGGAATTGAGAAAATTCAGTCTTGAAACACCCGCGGAGTTTGTAACATCTTTGGTGGAAATAGCCACTGAATCGGTCTGTCAATTCAACTCCTCCCCGTAACAATACGCATAGTTGGGATTACGTGTGATAGCTATCGAACATTAGTAGATAGTGAACGGGGGAAATTGCTCAGAGAACACTTTTCCTATAGCCGCGAGTAGTGCCTTATAGTTTAAGAAGAGTGTTTAAAATCCCCTGTGTGGTATCTACGGTCTCAAAATACTGAATTTTTCTTCAACTCATTTGCGAAAAACGTTAGAACATAAGTTGAACTTGAGTGGAGGCAAGTGGATCGGTGTTAGTAAACATAATAGCTTTTAGTGTTACCTAATTGCTGGTGGAGAAACCACGGATTCAGCCAAAGATCCATTGAACCTTTTGCAAAAGTATTGTGAGTAAAAATAAGAACAATAAAAATTCGCCTCGATAAGAACACCCACGAAATAATTCCAAGGATGGGGACTTAATCTTACTATTGTTAAAATATTAAAATCCTTGTGTAACCTGTTGAATTGGCTTGTATATTGCATAATTTGTTCAAATTACATTAGAGTCAAATTACATTCCAAGTAAAATCGTGTTGATTTCTCCCAATATTCTTAGACAACCCCCCTCCCAACTCAAAATTCCTCAATAAGGCTGCCTTGCATTTGCTTTCCTTTGCTAAACTTGCCATCTTGAGTTCGTTATCGTTTCGAATCAAGGGGAAATTAACGAGAGAATAAAAGGTAAGAGTGTGAAACTAGCGTCGTCCAAAATAAAAATAAATAGAAAATTTTAGGTTAGTTAGTCTAACTGGTCCTCGGACGCTTGAAACATTTTTGGACTCAACATTTCCAATACGTCGTCTTTAGTGAGGAAACAACATTCCACAGTACCGGCTTTTTGAATCGTCACATGGTCACAATTGGTCAGCTCAAAATCCTCATTGGACTCGAAACATTAATCACCAGCATCGGTGGAATATAAACGTGTGGTGCGGTATTGTTGACGGTCAACTAGTTGGACCCTATTTCTTTGGTGGAACTGTCAACGGCATGAGGTACCGGCAATCCTTACAGAATGAATTACCAGTTCTCATGGAAATTGAACATTTAGCAACTAGACAGCGGGCATCGTTCCAACAAGACGGTGCACCACCGCAATTCACTCGATCTGTGAGAGATCCTCTATACATTATTTTCTCCAATCGTTGAATCGATCGAGGTGGTTTTTACCCCACTCGATTTTTATTTGTGGGGTTATGCGAAAGATGTGTACACCAATCGACCGACAACTTCGGCGGATTTGTAGAGACGGATCAGACAAGGAATCGCGAACATTCCATCTAAAGTCCTCCGTTCTGTTGTTCGAAGTTTCCGACACCGGCTGGAATTATGCCTTGCTGTTGATGGCGGTAACGTCGAACATCTGTCATTACTGTTCCCGGCGGATCGATTGTAGAATCGAGTTCATCAGTATATCGATTCGTATGCGAGTGTAGTTTGATTCAAATCTCAGATTATTGATAGAATCGAAGATGAACCGACTTCATAGGAAACCAATAGCTGGTGAATTTCGAATGACAAAAATTTATTGCACCAAAACTTGAACGACTCATGGGGTGGTCGATTATGAAAGCCTCCTTACGGTCGGACCAGGATCGACTTGAAGAAAGTCGATTGGGACTCGATTGCCCGCATATTATTCACATCAACCGACCCACAATTGACCAGTTGTTGAGTCGTTTCATATAAGTGAATATGAAGTCAATCGAGTAATAATCGACTCAAGGATCAGTCGATTCGCCCACTAGAATTATGAAAACTATTATGAAACGACTGAACAACTAGTCGATTGTAGGTCGATTGATTTGAATAATGAGGACAATCGAGTCACAGTTGACTCAACCTTCATTTATAAAAAAAAAACAATGGAGCAAAATGATTTTGTTACTAATTTACAAACCCCCCCCAACACATTTATTCATTAAAAAAAAAACAATGGGGCAAAATGGTTTTTGTTACAAATTTACGGAATTCCCCCCCTTCACCTTCATTAAAAAAAAAACAGCAAAATTGTAATGTTCACTAATTTACGGCATTCCCCCCCTCCGCCCACCTTTATTCATTAAGAAAATAATAACTGGGGCAAAATGGGCACGTTACGAATTTACAAAAATCCCCCCCCCCAACATCTTTATTCATTGTGAAAAAAAACAATGGGTCAAAATGGGCACGTTACAAATTTACAAAATTCCCCCCCCCCCCCACTCATTAAGAA